CCTCAAGTTTTCACTGAACTCTAGTTGCTGCATCAGGCTGTAATTGGACGTTTTACAAGAACCCCACTTATGAATTGATCATATTACTTTCCTCTCCGCACGTAAGCCCTTCCTCAGCTAGAGCCTGGAGTCGGTAATACTCATTTCATTGACCTGCTTTTATACTTAGTTACATATTATGCACATCAGATGCTGAAAATAGTTCCAGGGACATAGTAGGCACTCCATGAGTGGAGGTAATTATTTTTGTCTACTAGTGATCAACATTAATAATACATGTAAAACCCAGTTTCTAGTATAAAAGAAATGTTTAATAAATGTCCTTTCTTAACTTTCACTTGGCGTCAACATCTCTTTGGCCTTAAAATCCCATTGATTGTAAGATGTTCAGTTTAAAACAACTTTTTGAATAAAAAAAGAATCTTATTTCATTAAATGTTGGCAAAGAATATAAAACTAAAACTGATTTCATAAATTACAGTATGGAAAATTATACTTATTGAGGAAATAAACTATTGTTTCCATTGCTGTTACTGCAATTATTTTTACAATTCCCTCTCATGTGTGTTACTGACAAACTAAATTAACTCTTTTGGGGGAAAATGAAGGATCAAAAATGATTTTAAAATTTTTGGCATGCTTACCTACGCAAAGGATACCACAAAATGAAATAAGATACCTAGGAGGAGGTGCATTTAATTTGGCCCATGTTGGGATTGCCATCAAGAGACAAAGTTTCAGGGGCCACTGAAAATATTAATGGCCTTTTGAAGAAAAACCTGCAGATTAATATTTGGATGATGTTTTAATGTGATTCTTTCAGTTGCAGGTCCACTCAAGCTAGCTCATTTATGGGATTCATGAAGAGTAATAAGGGAATCACTTGGGCCCACAGGCAGTAAAGCGGGAGGACTTTCTGGATGGTTCCAAAGATCCCTACATCAGATATTTATGAGCCTGCATCCTAAGTCGCAACCATTGAGGTTTCTTTTATTAATTATCATTCCCTGAGTATTTGTTATGTATTAGGCACTAAGCTAAGCATTTTTATGCCTTAGATCATGCAATCCTCCCAAGTTCTGTGATTTATATTCTATTACAATCCACAGTTATAAATAAGAAAACAAGTTTTTGAAAATTTAAGTAACTTACATACTTTCCCTCAGCTAATTAGAGGTAATTAGTAAATTAGTGGTAAATTAGTAAATCAACTTCAGCTCTTGTCCAGGGCCCCAGATTTACTATAAACAGTGGTCACGTAGTGGGTGATGTGTTCTATTCTGTCTCTGAATCCACTCTATCCCACTACTGATGGGTTTCATTTGTTTACTTAATTCATATTCTTCAATTATTTCAGCCTGTGCATGGCCTATCATAATCTCTCCAGCCCCATCAACATCATGATCTTTCAGTTTAGTTCCCATTATTAAATAGTGATCTATTTCTCTGAATCTGAACTCCTGATTTTTTTTAAATATTTATTTCAATGCATATATTGGAGTCAAGCTATGCATTTCATAAATGTTGATCAATCTATGGGATTGGTTGCTCTCAGGTCAGATATCCATCCCTACCGGATTAACAGTTACTAAAAAGGCCAATCCATGCCAATCAGAGGCTGCATGTGGGGAAGCTTCCCTTAGAAAAAGTATGGATGAGGCAATGCTAAGTAGGAGGTGAAGCTATGGAAGTAGAAAGGTCCACAGTAGACCAAAAGAAAAGAGGCTGCACAACAGAACCTTAAGAAATAATTGTATACAGATTGGCCAGAATTAGAGAGGTCAGTACAAGAAATCAACAAAAAAGAGAAAAGAGAACCAGTAGAAAAATAGAAAATACTATTAAAGAAATCTATGAAGAAGGGAGTTTGAAACGTAAGAGTGTATTCCACAACAACAAATGCTTCAGCAGTATCAATTCATTCATATTTATAACACAAAATATGCTACCACAGTCCAGGGGACACAGGGTTGAGCAAGAAGAACAGGTCCTTGTTCACATGGCAGAAAAAACAAATGTCAATAATCACTCAAATTCATACATGATTGCAATTATGAGACATGCTACAGAGGAGAGGTATACGGTATTTTTTAAGGGTTTTATCTATTTGAGATATATATATATATATAGAGAGAGAGAGAGAGAGCACGAGCAGGGGTGAGGGCAGAAGGAAAGGGAGAAGCAGACTCCCCACTGAGCAAGGAGTCCAACACAGGGCTTGATCCCAAGACCCCGGGGATCATGACCTGAGTGGAAGGCAGATGCTTAACTGACTGAGCCACCCAGGCACGCTTTGGGTATATAGTATTTTGAGATCATAGAATCAGAGGACATGACACTGTGAAAGAGTTCAAGGAAAACTTCAAATTGATGCCTGAGCTGACATCTAAAAGGAGATCAGAAATCAACTGGGTGAAGTGAAGGAAGGAAGAGCAAGGCAGAGGGAATGTGTAAAGCTCCTTTGGCAAGAGGCAATGCAGTGGCTGCTAAAGGTGGCTGGAGTGGAGAGAGCAGGGACTTGACTTGGTCATAGGTCCATCCATGAAACAATCATTATGGCCAAAGAAGAGGACATACTCATAGTCAGGCCTGAATGACTTGCTCACTTCTAGAGTCAGATAGTAGAGTCAATTCCACCTGAACCACAAGGTCTGAGAAAAGGAAAGGGACAGTCCCCGACGAAAACCTTGGATGTTGTCTCCAGGAGTGGGAGACACAGAGAAAATATGGGGTGAAGGGACAGGTAACTGATTTCCAGGTTAAGAGGATCTTACGATACTCCTGGATAGAGATAACCACAGTTTTGATTGAGGGTAGAGGTTTTATAGATACTTAGGAGAATACATTCATAGGATTTTGTAATGAATTAGACAAGAGGTTAAGGGAGATTGACATATCAGGAGTCAATCCTAAGCTTCATGTTTCCATCACTGGTGAGACCATTCACTGAGAGACACAATACTGAAAGGGAGCCAAGTTAAGAGGTCAGGAGAGAGGTGAAACAACATGAGTTGAATTTAGAACATATTTAGTTGGAGGTGCCATTGAGACATTAAAGAGATGCTAAGAATATACAGGTGTAAATATCAGGAGTGACATCTGGGCTGTAAGTATAATCTTGCCCAGAATAGGAACAGTCGACTGATTTGAAGGTTGGCTTGACCATGGATAGGAATAGAAGCAGAGCCAGGTTACAGTGAATGGGTAAAATGGGTGTAGTAATCATAGGAATACCATCTTAAGGAAGAATTTGTGGGGTATAATACAGCCACTAACTCGCATCTTTCAAATGAGAATAACAAAACAAAAACAAAAAACAGGGACAATCAAGACACCCTTGATTTGTAATAACAGCTCCCTTCCAAATAGCACTTCCCAGTTTCCATAACCTCACTAACCAGAGTTTTCCTGTGTAATCCAGTAGGCTTGTGTTTCTCAGGCATGAGGAGAAAGGAGTCTCTTTTTGACTCTTTATTTCCTGAAAGCCTCCTCCCCAACAGGTTTGCAGATAGTAAAAGGAATATTGTCCTAGTTTCTCCTAGAAATTTGCCTGTTGGTTGCATTTTCCCACCAGCTGAGATGGAGTGGTCCGATATAAGCTCGGTGATGGTCCAACGGTTCCCTCTAGGTGATTTAGAGATGGCCAACTCCTGTCGTTGCTTGAATATTTTGCCCGGGTCACTCCTCACTCCTCCCCATCCACTTCCTCGGAGAAGAGACTTTCTGGGTCTAGACTATGGGAGAGCCAATTCTCGAAGGCCCCTTGTCAAAAAAGTGTATGTGACATGTTGTGCCAAGCTGGCTGCTGAGGAGACACCAGCCTTCGATGTTAGTACACTGGAAAGGAGAATGACTGAGCAAGTTGGCGTGGACTGTATTGTCTTCAATGACTCATCGATCACCACCTAGATTCACTCCAGACCACCAGAAGACGAACTAAACCCTTAGAGGCACTACGATTTCCACTGAGAATATCAAATACATTAACAAGTTATAGAAGTAACTGGAGTTTGGAAAGAAAGAAAGTTAATTTTTATTCACTTGAATAAAATTACATGATATTCTCTGCCTGCTTTTATGAAATGGAACAGAGTACGGTAATATGACTTAGAACTGAACTTTAAAAAAACAAACCAATCTTTGGATGGTTCCCTTTATTCTAATTCTCCAGAGAACAGCAACAAATCTCCAACCTCTCCACAGAAGTATAAAAAAGAGTGTATACTTAGCACAGTGTCCAGTGAGGGTGAATAACTCAAATTTGTACTGAAACTGTGCATACATATCTATCATGCCTTCTTGAATTCTCCTCACCTCAACTCCTCGCACTCCCAGACCAAGGGCGAAGACTCACCTGTGTGCTAAAACTCAGCATCCCCGTCAGGGAATGACGCTGGCAGGGATATATGGTTATGTTATTCTGTGAACTCAGCCCTTCTTCTCTCCCTCCCTTTCTGGAATAACTTCCATTCTTTTAAGCCAGGTAAATGGACAAGCACAAGAAAAATCATATCGGAAGAAAGGGAAAACCTTCCTGGGAACAGTATAATTGCCAAGCTCTAGCAAAGAGTCCAGTTGATCACTGTATATAATGCAACACTTAGCAATTTTAAGTGAAAGTACAAATTAGAGGATGAAACAATTATCTTTTCTGTGTTACTTTAGGTGCTTCGAGAATATTTCCTTTTTATCTTGTGTCTCAATGGTAAACTTGTGAGAATTATCTCAATGACCACCTAAACCTATTTTCTACTTAATTGTTCTATGTTTTATCTCAATTCTTGCTAAAGGAGATTTAAAGTGATGAACAATAAAAAATGCATGTCCATCATACACACACACACACACACAATATGATTAATAAAATCAAAAAGGCTGTGAAAAGAAGGAAGGCAATTGCAATCTGTTTCACTTCACTATATATAGTTTGTGCAAGTTTTCTTATTCCAGCACTTTAGCAATACAAAAAAAAAATCAGCGCAGTACTTTTAAATATTTTATTGACAATATTAACATATTAATGTATCAAGATATTTTCAGGCAAGTAAATATTCTCTAACTTATGATTTCTAATGTCCTGTAGGTATTAAAATGATGTAAGGTTGTACATTCTTTTCATTGAAACATGTAGTCTTGTCCTGAATAACTTCTCCTTCCCTTCCACACACATATAATTTGACATTATTGGGCACAGTACTAAAAGAAGGGAAAAATTGTATTTAGCAGGCTCCCTTCAAAGCTGATTAAAATAGAAATGTTCTCTTCATTTGTGACATCAACAGGACCTAAAATGTGTCCGTGAGATGGTAAGCATTCAAATGTATCCACAAAGCCAACTCTTTTGTTATTTTCAGCCCCATGTTAAAAATTTCATGTCAGTGACCGCTAATTCTGTTAAGGGTGTTCTTTTTAAAAAACATGAACCAAAATATTTCTTCATCTAAACAATTTCATTTATGGTGGAATTTCCAAAATTTCTTATATCTTGAAATTATCCACAAAGTACTATTTTGTGCTTACATTAAAAAGATGCATTCCTTATAAGATCAAAATATATACCATTAGGCAGTATGGTTATGTGTTTACTGAACAGAATATCACCAAAGCGTTAATAGAAAAACAAAAGTTAAATATATTTAAGTTTCCTGTAACTGATTTCCAGCTGTTCTAATGTTTTAAAGAAAAAAATAAAGATCTAACATCAGACATAATATTTTGATAAGCAATATTTATAAAAAAATATAAGTTAAGCATTGCAACAAGCTACCTTCAATGAATTGCCCCCTATCACAAAGAATATTATTGGAACTATATATCTAAAGTGAATAAGAAGGTAAAGAAGAAGGGGGAGGAAGAGCAGGAGGAGGAGAAGGAGAAAAGAAAGTATAATTGCAAAGGTGACTTTTTAGTTAAATACACTTTCGTATAAAGTGGCAAGATAATATTTACAAATTTACAACTGAAAAGAAATCTTTATATACAAGTTGTCTTGCTTTTGAACTTTTGGGGCTTCCTTCCTCCTGTGTAATAGGCCCTCCTCGTAGAACTCATCTAGACTAGATTTTCAGTTCATAGCACATGATAGATGAGCCTGGAATTAGAGGCCCCTGGAGTTGCAGGCTGTGAATCCGTGCTGGCAACTGGGGAGAGAGAGGCCGGGTCCTGGAGAGGCAATCCAGGTTGATCTGCGTTGGTGATTCGATCCACTATGCTGGATAAACAATCCAAGCTGGATAAGGAGCTTTTATCTGTGGCATATACTAAGAACACAAGGAGAAAATCATTAAAAAAAAAAAAAAAATCCCAAAGAGAGAGACTTGTTTATGTGGCCCCTTAAACCACAGGTCAGCAACTTTGACACCCAGGGGTCAGGTGGTCAGAGAAAGCCTGATGCGGAAATTTGCAACAAATATCTAGCAATTCATGGAGGTGAACGTAGGGAGTGGAGAAGCCCCCCTACTAAAATTTTGAGCAACAGTGCATATGTGTGTCCCTGTTAGGGGCATTTTGAACAAAAGATGTGTGTATATTTTGCTGCACCAAAACCTCCCCGTAAGAATCCTCCCTTCTATTCCCTTCCCCAGTACAACCTGGAGAAGCAGACTCTGCTTTGACAGGCTGAACTGTGAAGTCGAACTGATTTTTAAACTCCTCTGAAGCCATCAGTTCTTACCATTTGGTACATCTGGGCAGTAGATGCTGTCAAAGCTGCTGCTCTTTCTGGACCAGACAGGACTGTTGCATTCCGGCTATAATACAAGACACAAAGGAGGTTTGTTTCCAGGTCTTGGTAAAAGATGCTCCGACCTACGGAGCGGCTGTGCTTGACCGATGCCTCCATATACTGACCACTCTCAATCAGCTTCATTGCCCCGATTTAGGAAGGGTTGGCCGGCACCGAATTGTAAGGGCACTGAGGTCAATCTCTGTGCTTGAAGGAGAGGAGAGCAGTGGCACAGGGAAGAGGGCGGGGGTGGAATTCAGCAGCAATGTGCATTGGGTTAACCATGCAAAATGGATTGGAGCAGAAGGAAGCCACACTAATTCAGTGAGAGAATACTTTCCCAGGGCAAAAACACATTAAAACCTGGCAGCGATGGAACAAACGCCCTCTGAAAAGAATGCATCAACATCTCTTTCCAGCCAGGCCTCAGCAGAGCAAGGACAGGGGCCATGTGGAGAAAACATGTTATTGATCATTTGCAGCCCCCTGCCTCATAGGATGGCCCTCCCCTACAATGTCCACCTGGAATCTGGGAAGAAGTCAAACTAAAATCCTGTTCAACAGCTGTTTCCTGGCATCTTTCTACACATGGCCCCTCTCTTCTAGCCACCACCCCCCCCCCCCGACTATCCACCAATAACCATTGAATATTTGGTTGCCACACCTGGTTTAAATGAGATGTAAGAAGTTTTGGAAAAGATCGGGGCACCAGCTCTCTCTTACCATGCCGTCGGAGCAGTTGGAGGTGGGGCTGGTGGGCTCAGAGCAGCTCTGTCCTGGCAGCCTATAGTAGTTCTCCACCTGCTCCCTCAGCAGCTCCTGCAGGCTCTCAATGTAGCGGATGGCATTCCTGAGTATCTCCACCTTGGGCAGCCTCTGGTTGGGGTTGGTCGTGGTACACCTCTTGAGCGTCTCGAAAGCCTGGTTGACCTTCTTCAGGCGTCTCCTCTCGCGCATGGTGGCCGCCTTCCGCCGATCCATGGTGGTAGACTTTCTCTTGCATGCTTTGCAAGCCCACATGAGACAGTGGCCAGCCTGGTGGTGGCCTGTAGGTGCTCGCACGTGCTCGTCCTCGTCTGAGCCTTGCAGCTCTGGTTTGTGCGCCCCGAAGGCAGCCCCTCTGGGCTCAAACTCATCCCCGAACTCGCCCTCGGGGGACGGGATGCAGGAGCCCTCATAGAAGTACTCAGAAGGCGAGAACTGGCAGCCGTCCATCATTTCCATTCTTTGCGGTGAAGGAAGTGGGGCACCTGGACAGCGGCGAGAGATACAGGGGAGAGACCGGAGCCTGGCGCCGCTGCGGGCCAGCAAATCCCGGGGCGGAGCTCCCTGGTCGGTTTCTCCGGTAATTAACAAGGGCAAAAGCCTGGCGGCCTGGGTCGGGTGTGCTAGGGTTGGGGCTCTTTATATATTCTTGGGGGAGGGAGGCCGGCCCCAGTGGCCAGGCACTATTAGCATATCCCACCACAACCCCCGCAAGGGCTGTCTGGGCAAACCTCCGCCTTCCCTCTAGAGAAAATGTGCTGTTTACAGCCCCTTTGGACGCTAATGGTTTTACTGCATTTCTGCTGGGGCGGGGGGGATCATTCCCCAACCCGTTCACTTGCACTCTCTAGAGTACCTAAACCAAGGGATCACTTAAAGAGTGGTAGAGACAAAGGAACAAAGTCCATCCAACTTTTTGGAATTGCTCATACCTAACAAATATTAATAAATAAAACTCCCTACTATAAGCTAATACCAAAAGCCGACCTGCCTTCCCAATCTTGGGCACGAGGAATTACCTTGTTTTTTGGTGTTTGTTTCTCGTCTACATGAGCTTCAATTATCTCAGGAATTTTTTCAGTCAGTGGATTGAATAATGGTTGCTAAAAACTTTGAAGTGACACGTTGAATCATGGAGTGAACCTAGATATTTAAAAATCTATTTTGTTCTGGTCAGATCGTCACTTTATAGGCTCTGTATTATTGGAGGGTGGGCAGGGAGGTTCCTTTTTTCCAAGACAGGGCTCACTCTGAGTTCTCTTTACATGTCTGCTCCTCTAACAGGAGGTGGGCTCAAGGGCCAGGTGACCACAAACAGTCCTCCCTTCCTTTCACCTTCTGCACATGTTTACCAAGCGCCTCCTCCTTTGTACCAGGCCTTTGCTAGACCCCCAGCCAGCCACAGATCCATACCGCCTGCACCTCTGCGATCTGTATTCGAAGAAACTGAGTTTTATACGGCAACCTTTCTTTCCGGGGGCGAGTTTCCTTTCTCCTCTTTCTGCTCCGCCCTGCCATTTCGACAGACTAAACAGCCAAGCTCGGCTTTGGGGTCGCTAATTTTCTGCTTTCAGGCAAACTAACACCGTTACAGATGCATCCCAGCTGCCGGCACAGCAATCCTTCTCGGCTCGTGTAAAATTTCCAACTCAAACCTCGAGTAACTTCACACACTTTGGTGACAAAAGCCTTCCAGAAAAGCAATCACAGCAGGGTCTTTGGAACTTTGGTGGGTAGAAGGAGAGAAGGGAAGGCTGCCATTTATGTAAGAATGAATCTATTAATCCGCTTTTGCCAATGCTCCTCCACCTTTAACCCACTTGCAGATCTCTTGGGGTGGGGATGGGAGGGGACGGTGCTGTTTATGTACAGGAAAAACCATTACTTAAGGTCTAAGTACATAGACTTAAGTAGTCCGGAGGTTTGGACCAGGGCTTGTGGCCCGATTAAAACAGGAGGGAGTGTTCTCATCACCATCTTCAGTCATCCAGCCCAGTAAGTGGTGGCTCAGTGGGGGGGGTGGGGGTGGGGGTGGGGTGCTTCCTTCTATTACTTATTTCTAAAATTATTTTCCTCAAGCAACCCTGGCTGGCTGATCCCAAGTCTGCAGGGATCAGAGAAGTTCTAACTTTTTCAGGATGAGATCCGCTCTCTAAAGTGAAGGTTCGGAAAAACAGGGGTGGTAGAGTGTCAGTCATTAAGGTTAGCTGCTAGGTGCAGGGCTCTGCCCCCTTTCCCACCTTCATTCATCCCTAAGACAAAGACACCACCACACCCCCTACCCCCCTTGAAAATCAAGCTCCCTTTCACACCAATGGGCTGCTTAATTGTCTGGCCAGTGGGAAATCCATCTGCACCTTATTTAGGACTATTAACAAGTGGATGCCTTTGAAATGAATAGGGTACTAAGGGCTATACTAGATAAAAGAGTCAAGTTCCTAAAGGACCCAGGTGTAATGGAAGACTCCATCCACACCGGTGGAAACTTTGGAATGCATACACATTGCTACCTCTGAAATACAATAGTGGGGAGATAATCTCACCCAGGAATTCTCAGCCAAGTCACACAGGTTCTGGTCAGCACCAATACCCCCACTTTCCCTGACTATGCAGTACACACGACAGGCGCAGATTTATGATTTGGGCACAAATCAACTTGCCCCTCAAAGTTTAAGGGGAAGATACCTTATACTCGCCTTTCAGCTGATTTCTTTACACCAGGCACCTCATGAGCTCTGTACCCGATCCCCCAGTGCGGGATATTTGTAGTAAACAATTAGTAAGACTTTTCTCTTTGCCAAGCACTGTTCTCAACTCCTTCCTTGTGTTCATTCATTTACTGCTCTCGACGACTCTGTGGGAACTATTTATTATATCCATTTTTAAAAGACGGTAACCGAAGCTCAAGGGGTAGGTAATTCGCCCCAGGTCACACAGGATTGGAACTGGGCATCCTGTCCCTTAGAGCTTGCGCTCCTAGAGGTGAATTTTTTCTTCGTGGTCAGTTCGCGCTCAGCGCGCGTGCTTAGCGCTGCGGAGCCGACACTCGCCAAAGCCGGGTGCCCGACGCCTTTCCCCGCGCCCGGGCCTGGAAGATGCTGTCACTCAGGAGGCTCTGTCAGTAACGGTGGGTCTCAGAGGTTAGGGCTGTCTCTGGTAAGGTGATCTCAGAACAAATTTACCGGAGTGCCGCGGTCGAGTGGAACGAAAGAAGCCGCGAAAACACAAGCGCCCGGCGGCTTAATGGGACTTGCTGGCGGGGGGAAACAAGGTCCGGGGTGGAGGGCCCTTGGGACTCAAGCGCTGAAAATAGGATCGCAAAACACCAAAGTAAAAAACGAGACAAAACTTTTAAACCGCTGTCAGTGGCGAGAAGGGGGAGAGAGAGAGAAAAACGGGGCGGGGGAGGGGAACAAAACCAAACAAATACACAAAAAAGGGGAGACAGTATACAAAGAGAAAAGGAAGCAGTGCCTCAAAGATGGCTGGGGTCCCCCAGTTCAGGAGAGATTCTGCTGCTCTTTTCCGAGGGGAAACTGTGTAGGAGAAGAGGAGAAACTGGGTGAGCGATACAGACAAAAATAATTTTTTTTTTTTGAGTGGGGAAATTGAACAAAGCGGTATGAAAAAAGTTGAAAATCATAAAAAAAGGGAGAGAGATCTACTGCTTATTTGGGTGCTCTTACTTAAAATCAGACTGACTTTTGTTCCTCATAGAAAAGAATAAAAATACGGTAAGTGTTCCACTCTTTCTTCAGAGAAGTGGATTTCTCACGTGGAGAGGAAACTCCCACATATTTAATATGCAACCACGTTGGTAGAAATGACATTCCAACACTAACTACTAGGAAAGCCTTACAGTAGGCAGATGAAGGGAAGACAATTAAGCCATTCATGGTGTTATAAATGAATGCCACCCAAGGTTCTCGGGAAGTATATAGATAATTAAAAATTTTTTTCCCTTAACATTCTGAAGGAAAATAAATGCGTGTCTGATTTTCTTACAGTTTAGACTCAGCAGGTTTTAGCTGCATAGACCTTTAAGTAATCACCAACCTTTTTTTTTTTTTTTTTTTTTTTGAGAATCTATTTTAGTTTAAGTATTATGGCAACAATCCTAGTGTTGATGGACAGAGCCCACCAGCGAAATGATGGTCAGAGCTTCCTTTTCTAGTAAATTTTGCCTACCCTAGGAATTCTGCATTATTCCAAATTTTCTATGCTTCTCTCAGTGGGAGAGACCAAATATACATAGAAAGATGAGTCCATTTCAATCACTTCTGCCTCTCTCTGAGACCCTTATCAACTCCTGGGCAAAGGGAGCTGTTCTAGAGATTTTGGCTTATCATATATGACTTCACAATGTGCTAAACAATTTCAAACTGCTATTAGCTCTGGGAACCAGGCACACCTAAGTAAACACATTAGTACCTGTCAAAGCTGCTGGAAGAATTTGCGGAGAAGACAGCTGAGGAAGACATTGGCCTCTGCTTGCGTTCGAAGGCTCCCAGGGGAGATCAAAGGCCTATGGAGGGATTTTGAGCAGCCTTGAGAGTAGAGAAAGGAGTCAGTTCTTGCAGCATTATCTTTGTTTCAGCACATGGCATAGCCATTCTGAACTGAGAAGCCAAGCTGACTCTGAACTCGGCTTGCAAAAAATTTCTGTTTCAGAATGAAACCTCTAGGACTGAGGGTCATCTTTTGTAACCCTGCTTTTGAGAGTAAGGGAGTGACTGGAGGGGGTCTGTTGGAGAAATGTCTTGATGGCTTGGCTCTTTGAGGAAGTACCATGTTATTGCTAATTTACTAATGCATTAGATTAGGAAATGAGATATTCAAAGTTTAAACTTAAATATTTTTAAAACATTTTTTTCTAGGTAGGGTGCTCTGGGAGGAGAATTTTGAGATAAATAAATGATATAAAACATTGCTTACTAAGAGAAAAGCACCAACGGCTATATTCTAACTTTGTGTCAAAAATGTCTTAGTAAGGATAGAGTTCAGTTTAGCAGCCCAAGACTTCTCTGGCAGTCTCAACAGTAGTTGAGAACACAATTTCAGCACCATGTTCCCATCCCCCGTATATACATATATGCCCATTAGACATAAGTGAATTTCCATTATGTTCAGGGTCAGAATTCGATGATTCAGGTGTGATGATTAAAGTTAGTTTGAAAAAGCTGGCATTTGACATTTCATAAATTATTTGTATAGTAATATAAGAAAGGAAAATAACTTATTTTTTAAATATTTGATAACTTTATGCCTACCTCTGGAAAGAGGCTCAGTTTAAATCCCAAATTGCTTATCTTTACCAAGTTATTATATCTTGATTTTCTGCTTGCATGGCCCTGTTTGTTTTGGCTTTGGCCTTAGTAAAGATTATCATCATTAATATCAAATAAAAACATTTTAATTGCAAACACACCAAGGATTCCACTGGAGAGTCTAATATGTCAACTATAGCAGTGGAGGTCACATGAAGTCTTTGGGAAATATTTTCTCTATTTAACAAAGAGACCTCTATAGGCAAACTTATTCCAAACAATTTCTCAAGTTACCTAGCTAGGAGAGAGAGAGAAGATTTGGTTTGCAAAGACTGAATAAAATCCATCAAGCAAATAAAGTCCATGAATTGATAAAAAGCATTCTGCTGCTAAATAGTTTATAACATAGATCTCATTATAAATATATATGCAATCATAAAGTAAGTGAATTCACCTGGTTAATTATGAGATTTGATTTCAGTTGTGGCTTGAATCTGCGACACACACACACACACACACATATATATACCTATATTTTATTATATATATATTATATATATAATATGTAATGTGTATACATATAGAATATATATGTATAGACAAACATTTTAGGGAAAATATTGATTCTCAAGAAAAAATCATAGATACATAATAAGCATGATGAATGGATATACACACCACCCAGACATATTCATATTCATATACATGTTCTGGTTGGATAATTTGAAATGCTCTACAGTTTTTCTTTAATTAAGTTACTGCCCTAATTTGGAGTTCGCTAGCTAATCACTCTTGAGAAAGAACATTTGAAAAATAATTGCTAAAGAGAGCCAAACTGTTCTGGACCACAAATGTTCTTTCTTACTTGCCAAGGCTTCTCTTTCAGGGCGCAGGTGATTGAGCCAACAGGCTTGAAGCCTCTGGTATTTACTGCCTCCAAGCCCTGGACCTATGCTTACAAAAATGCAAGAAACTCTTCGTACCCAAGAAGCCTTTTCTCAAAAGAAGTAACAAGTTTCCCTCAACACCAGTAGTTGTAGGATTCTGAGTGCATATGTAAAATGCTAAGAATGAGTCATTCATATTGCTACTGATTTCATTGTTATCAATACTTTTCCCAAATAGCGCCTGCAACGCAGGCAGCCAATAGTATTTGAAGGAACTGTGGCTTTGGGGGGAAGAGAAGCATTTGATGGTCAATGTAGATTTATTAATGAAAAATACAGAGAGCCCACATTGAATATTTGTTCGGTGCTCTGCTCCGGCTAAAGCTTTTCTGTGTTTTATCTCACCGAAATCTTCACACCCCCGAGTTAAGCACCGTTATTGTCCTCACCATTATTTTATAAATGAGGAAACGGGAAGGAGGGAGGAGCTGGGATAGCCCAAGGCTACACAGGAGCAACCCGGGTTCAATCTAAGTAGGCAGCGCCCACAGCAACTCAGCAGTTTGCAGCCATAACACTCCCACCTGCTTTTCTCAAACCTCTGGGAGAGATTGTATGTCAATGTCAGTTTTCTCTGTGAACCTTTCTGCACTTTATAAGCATTCTAGGAGAAACGAGCATTATCCAGGTGCTCAGAAGACAGAGTAACTATCACCCCCAGAAAGAGGCCCTTAGAGATAGAAAAGGGGCACGATACTGCTCCGTGCCTGCAGGGGGCGCTGTCTGCGGTGGTATCTGGAACTTCTGTGGTGTGCAAAAGGAACGTCCAGACTGGAGTGTTAGGAAGCCAGGTTGGGCTGGGAAATATTGGATTCGGTTTGATTTTCACATTTGTAAACTGAGGACCCGCTGTGGGGAAAAGGAAGGAAGAAGTCAAGGGTGGGGAGGGGTGTTGGGAGTGAAGGTGCCATTTACAGAATGCAAGTGAGAAGCAGCGATTCCAGAGAAATGGCTGGCCCTCTCCTCCGCTTCACTTCCCACTGTGATTCTTGGTGGTCGTTTCTTCCTGAAGTTACAGGATAAACAAACCTGGCACACGTTGTAAAATCCTGGCCGTGAGGAGCTCCTGGGGCTTCATGCCTCTCTGGGGGCTTTGCTCTTTGGTCCAGCTAAGAGGTTTCATGTGCGTTGTGGTTGTCTTTTGCCCTCAGCCATTTAACCCTTCCCTCTCTCGAAGCCTTCCCCCACCTCAGGAAACAGATTGTTCCCTTCTTTTATCTTTCTATTTGCAAAACAAACCCCAGCCACACGAGGCCTGGATGGTATTCCAGTCTTCTAACCAGTCTAGTTCAAGAAAATTAGGGAGGGGCCAGCGACCTGGCTGGGAGGCCAGTGCAGCCCCTGGGTCCTCCAGAGGAAGGCTTCTTGGTGAAGGGCCGGGCCTGGAAAGTCAAGAGGCAAAGTAATTTGGGGTAAATTAGCTGAAGAGCTTTTTAGGCAAATCCAAGTTTTTGTGTGGCTATCTCTTGCAACAATGAGATTTTACTGGGTTGAAAATTCAAGTTGTTAACTCTGGGTAAGTAAATCTCACCCAGAGCTCCAGGTATAGGACAGTTGAAAACATAAAAAAGATGGTGATAAAGGAGAAGAGGGCAGATTCCTCCTGGATATTCTTCACTTTTAACCACAAGTGTGAGGTCTGTATGAGATAGAAAAGTGAACAGTTTAATTCAGACACAGGAAAATAACCCATTTTCTTCCCTTTCAGTCAGCCTTTAAGAACACACCCAAACAAATGGGCTTGTGTGGCGTCTAAGTTAAAATATGGCTCCTCTTTATTTATGTGCACCTGCTCCCAAACATTTTTTTTTTTCAGTTGAATCAAATTGGGACCAATTTGGTTTATAAAGAAACTTATTTTTTTTTTGATATTACAATATCAGGATCCTCGCACATTTTATATGCAATCCATCACTCCACATTTAAAATATATTTCTTGGGTTTACATAAAAAATGAAAGTACTAAGAATATTTACAAAAATACATTCAATACCACTAACATTTCGATGCAACGTTCCCACTTGGCTTCGGACAGGAATGAACTTCTTTTGAACACGGCACAAAAGGATCACCGGAATAAAGGTAAGAGGTTACACAACTAGCCACACAAATACAAAGTCAGGCTGCTAGAGCTAAGCCACTCGCGGTTCCAAAAGTAAAAGCCCAAAGCCGAAAGGCTTTTTCATCTGAGCGTGCACAACAGTTTCTGAGACGTTTCCTTGTGAACAGGTCTCCTTCCCTTTCATAAACTCCTGGGCCTGGGTTCCTAAATATTAATGTAATGTGACCCAAGCTACAGGATTAGGAGAAGGAGGGGGGGTCCTCCCGCGGCGCGAGAACATCCCAAGCTCCGGCTGCGAGTTACTTCTCCACCACCTCTTCCCCGCAGGGCAGTTTGCGTTCCTCGGAGGAAATACTGTCCACGATGGAAGAAAGGCATTGAAGGCTACTCGAGGCTGACGAATCGATGCTCGCCCCTCCTGAGCGCAGAAAAAGAAAAACACACAAGTGTAGCACCCCCGAGGAAGGAAGAACGAGGCAGGGCGGGCCCCGCGCCAGGCCGCTTAGGCAGCGCGGGAGGACCCCTGTCCCCGCGCGCTCGTCCCCGCCGTCGCTCCGAGCCCTTTCTCCCCTTTCACCCCAGGCCCCTTCCCGGGATATTCTCCAGCACAGCCCGGTGCCCTTTCTTTTACTTTACCTTCCTTGGCAGTTATCACGAGCCCCCTGGAATGATCCGAAACGCTTGGCCACTGGGAGCTGCAGGTGCGCAGGAAATCCGCGCCCTCAAGCTGGAGAAAAACCGAGGCCGCAGAAGATTAGGAAAGAAACATCGGCTCCGGGCAGGGAGTGGGGAGGCTCTGTGGAGGTGTCTCCCCTACTTCCTCAGGCCGGGGACGAATTTCCTGCCTACTGCAGGCACCCCGAGTTCACGGGTCACTGGGGGTTCACTGGAGAGGGGGCGGGAGGGGCGGGCGAGGAAGGGGAAGGGGAAGGGAGACGGAGCAGCTGGAGGTTAAGGCCCCAAGGAAAGCGTCTAATCAGCCGGAGCATTCCCCTGCCCCTGCAGCATCTGGGCTTACATTCTCTTGCTTGGGTCTGTAGCTGAAGGGGTCCACCCCTAGCTCCTGCATTTTTTCCTGCTGATCCAGCTGATGGAGCAGGTCCTGCAGCCGCTCAATGTAGCTGATGGCGCTCCGCAGAATCTCCACCTTGGGCAGCCTCTGGTTGGGGTTGGCCACAGTCCGCCGCTTCAGTGCCTCGAAGGCCTCGTTGATTTTCTTTAGGCGCCTCCGCTCGCGCAGAGTGGCAGCTTTCCGCCGGTCAGTGGGGGCAGATTTTCTCTTGCAGGTCTTGCAAGCCCAGATCAGACATTGGCCGGGGCAGTGGGGGGGCTGCAGGCCTGGGGGCGCCAGGACGTGCTCCTCTCCGCTGCTGTCGCTGCCAGCTTCCGGGGGCATTTGATCCTGGCAGGGGGACAAGGTACCATCACTCCCCGGGTACAAAGGAGAGCCCTCTGCCACTTCTAATGGCTGCAGAGTAACATTTTCCCCGTCCAAGTAGAAGAAATAGGAGCCAGTTTCAAAAAGGTCCATCATCATGTTCTCCTCCTTGGACTCTGACTTGGTCTGAACTGGGTGATGGGCTCAAAAACCCAGAGGAACCACCCAGATGGCATTTAATTAGTGCGGTGACATAAGTCGCCCCAGCTTTATATATAGTAGCTCCTGAAACTCAATCCAACTTTTAGCTGTCATGGAGCATCAGTCTCCCAATGTGATCACAGACAGTGCTCTCCAGAATAGCTAGTTTGAAAGAAAACTGAGAAGTGTCACCTCCAGGACAATGGGACAATCTGTATGAAGAACAGGTTAAAACAAATAACTCTGAGAGAATCCTACAATATAAATAAAGCACCGAATGCTTCCATTTATGACAGTTTAGATGCTAACCTGTTTACCGGACAACGTCAAAACAACTGGGGATTTACACTGCTCCATTCCCCTCCCTCAGGCTCATCTGAATTCTAAGTATAGACCCATGATGAAAGATTTCAGAGGCAATAGCCATTGCTCCAAAATAGCCTGGTTAATATTTGCAGAGTGGTTCAGCTCTTTTCTCTGTCCCGCCTGTCAAAAAGATGCTATTCCTGTGATTAAAACCATTACAGTCCTTCAAAGGTTATACATGACTTTCAGGCTTCAGCCTCAATAGCAGGTAAATCTCTTTCCTCTCTTTTACTAAGGCTGTAAGATGATTTGGGAGCTGGAGGGGTGGCTGGAGGGCGCTCAGATTCCTTCCTTGGCTATCTTTTTTTGGGGGAGGTGGCAATCAAGATCTGAATTCTGTACCCCTCCATGGTGGAGCAGTCATACCAATGAGGTAAGGGGTGGGGCAGAGCATGGGGTTGCAATACATGGAATCACTTCTCTTTAAAAACAGTTTTAGTGGAAACAAGACTCACACTGTAGCTACTTGATATTTCAAAATTCTCTGCACACACCCCCCAAGGTGCCTCCGTTTTGGCTCCTACTCTGCACAGCGTGCTCATGGCTTGTTTGTTCGCATTCTTGATATACATTGACTCCAAAAAAAACTTGTTTCATAGGATTCAGGTGAGAAAGGAGGCAACCAAGGCATAAACAAGGAATACAAATTTTAATTGCCGCCCGCCATCGTCCAACACACACAGCATGGTGGTCAGGAATGCAGTACAATATAACGATGAAGGACAGCGTCTCTAGATTCGAAAGAACTCCCTTCAAGTCCTAGCTAAGTTAATTTCTATTTATGTGTACATAGACAAGTACTAGCTCTGGATTGTTCCAAGGTACAAGCGGTTGTCTTACAGAATTTTATCGAGGGTTGACTCAAATGGTGTCATGCATGTAAAGCACGTAGCCTTATATCAGCTGCTTGATGAACATTAGTTAGCACTTAAAGCATAAGGCTATGTATAGGGCTAAGACCATTTCGTATGAAGGAAATAAAGCATCGCTGTTGGAGAAGGGTTTTTCCCCCCCTCTTTTATTATTGCATTCTTTTCTTTTTCCTTTCTCTTTTCTTTCCTTTCCTTTTCCCTCCCAGAGCTCTGGAAGGACACCCTTCACTTATAAATGGCCTTTGTGATGACAGTCAACCTTGGTTTTGGCCTCTATGGTCAGTGCCTGAAAAAGTAGATGGAAACATAAGGTCTTCCTATTCTACCCCCAAGTAGGGATAATTATAGGCTGTGTTCACTATGATTTCATTTTTTAGATGAATACAGTGAAGACAGTATAAGGGACCAATGGTCAATGTAGGAACTAGCTACATTTTTGAGTCAAGTCACTCATTCCAGAAGATAATTCTTCATAGCCTTTTCTTACTGAGACAAGGTTTTGGGTGTTATGTTCTGACATTTTGGTCTGTTTTTATTTTTTGTTATTGTGCAGCTGAATAACTTCCTATCAAGTTTGAGAACCATTTTTATGTTTTTGGAAAAGTAGGAAACACAGGGAAGAATAATACAAAGCCATTACCTCTTTTGTGACATTTTCTCCTATTTTTGTCAGGGCTGGTTGCTAATATCAGCAGTTAAGACAGCAGATTGGAGGCCCCAACAACTCAGGGTATACTCTAACATCCATTATGGAAAATTATCCTTTGCTCTTAACCACATTGCATGATGCATCTTATAATGTGTAGACAATTTGAAAAGTCATTTTTAACCAGTAAAAGTATATCACATTATTGCTAAGGTAATTAAGACAACAATAACTGAAAATTTTTTATTCAGGATTTTGGGGGTACCTACTAAGTGCCTTATCCTTGGGGATAAGGATAAAACAGTAAAAAATGATCCTTTTTCTCATTGAGTTTGAATCTAGAAGGGTGAGTGAAAACGAAGAGATTAAAAATGTGAGAAATAGCCCTCAATTTGGGATATGGAAGGCTTAGGTTACAGTCATTTTAGCTTGTGAAGACTCCATCAACTCTAATATCTCAAATTGTCACTTTTTTTATCCTTATGATAGAGTGACAAAAGATGTCATACACTCAAAGGTAGTGATGAAGATTAATTTTTTAAAATTGTGTAATCACTTCAGAAATGTTGCATATTCTATAAAAGTACTTTCACTAATGAAATTAGGTGTAGGCAAAAAATTAGATAAAAAGAATAGCACTTCTAGGGAATTTTGTTGCTTGAATAATAGAAGTAACATTAAGGTGGTACCATTCTTAGACTCATTATTGATTTTAAGAGATATCAGATAGATGCTGGAGAGTCTACACATCATGAGCCTGCTAAAGAATGTGAAAATGAGCACATTCCTTTTTATTTTTCCCTCATTCAAGTGTTGTCACTGGAGAAACAGCGAGTTAAAAGTGTAGAAAGAAAAGATTCTAGAAAGTAGAAAAAGCTTTGAGGTGCTGATCAATATTAACCTCCCAGACAGGGGTGGCATTTCTTTGTGTGAATTTAAACTTTACTACAGAATTGTTGTTCCTTATTAAATTATAAAACCCCTTTCCCAACATTCTCTAGAACTCAGGCCAATAAAATTTAGTGTTGTTCACCTTGGTTGAAATATGCTTTCCCTTCTTTCGTTGTTGTTTTGGGGCCTCGGGGTGCAGGTGGGAGGAAAGGAAAAGGAAATGCCAGCTTGGGAAATAACCACCCATTACTAGATTAGGTAATGGGAAAATACGCAGTGATTCCAAACAACTAACTGGTGAACTCTTGGAACTCAGACTGTTTACAGAATATGAGATGCCTGTAATTGCATTATTTCTCAGCAGAACTTGGGAGACACAGACCTTGACAAGTGGTCCAAACAGGTTTGTGTAAACCGAAATCCTCCAAACTTTAAATAGTGCAAGTGCATTTTTAAAAATTATGGATGAATTATTAGCAATGAGAGAATAATAATATTAAGGATCAATTATTCACTTCAGGGGCCTAGAGTTCATTCATAACAAAATCTGAAACTAGGTTAGAGATAAAATTGAGAGTTTTCAAACAGTTTACCGCCTTGTTATTCTTACTTCATGCTTAGTTATTTGCAAATGCATTTTCTTCCCATCATCTCCACAAAAGCTTGACTATATCCAGTTCTTCTCTGTGAAAAGGAGTGGGAGGGAAAGGATTATCGCTACTCAGTCAATGGTGGTTTGCAGCTATGAGCCTTTGGGAAGGTGATGTAAGCAGTAGAAAAACAACTTTGGCGTGAGACAGAATCCAAGTTCTAGCCATTCTTTTTAAATCTTTTTTTTGTTTGTTTAAGATTTTATTTATTTATTTGAGAGAGAGAGCACGAGCTGGGGATGGGGCGGGTAGCGGCAGAGGGTGAGGGAGAAGCAGACTCCCCACTGAGCAGGGCTCCATCCCAGGACCCTGGTATCAGAACCTGAGCCGAAGGCAGGTGACTTCTGACTGAGCCACCCAGGCGCCCCTCTAGCCATTCTTAATTATATATTCTGAGCCTCAGTTTTATAAGAGATCAACTGGCATATGTAACACATCCATCACGGGCATGTCCTTCGCCTAAAATGAAATAATTAATTGTTGAGTCCATGATAAGGAATACGCACTCAACAAATGTTATTTTCCCCCCTTCCCCTACTCAGTTCATAAGGCCTCTGATTGAAATCGCTAGAGTGAATTAATGGAAATACCTAGATTTGGTGAGACAGATATTTAAGAGGAATTTAAGGATCGATTGATGTTAATGGTATAGTGGAAGTGAAAATATTGAACCTAGTGACTCCAGTAACAGTGTTTCATGTATTTATGCCCTCAACAAATCTCCAGTTTCCTGGGGGACAGATGCTAATTTTAAAAAATCACACAAATGAGTAACGGAACTAGGAACCTTGGAGGAAAGAGTGTGGTTTGAAGCTAGCATATAATGACCAGTCTATCATGAACTGGAAGCTTGAGAAAGGGTGGTTTGGGGATGGAAGTCCCTGAATGTGGGGTTGGTATTTCCAGGGAGCATGCTGAAGATTTTTAGCAAACCTGTGGGTTGGGATGGTGGTCACAGGAGGAGGAAGTTCAAGGAAGAAACGGTCACAGGTGTCAGTTTGTCAGAAACTGGTGATTTGTGTGGGTCATATCTAAGGAATTTGGCTATATTGTTGCATAGGTGGGTTCAAAGAAAGCCGTTTCAGTTATAGCTGAGAAAGTAGGACTGAGAGCCAGACAGAAGCAGCCGTGAAAAGAGAAAGAAGAGAGAAAAAATGACAGAAGACAGGGGTCGGGAAAGGAGAGACACAGGATGAACGGAACTTGGTCCAGCCTGCCTGGGAAGAAGAGTCAACTAGCAAGGCCCCTGAGAGGCCTAGAGAATAGAGCCAAGAGAATAGAGCACGAAGGAAAGGTCCGCTGACCAAAAGGGAAAATTCAGAAGAGGCAGATTAATGCTTTAAACTTGTGGCAGCTCGATGAGTAACATAAGCCCCAGCACCTGTAATTTACCTAATCTGCAGACAGTTTGTGCCCAGAGATTCCCCAACACTGTGGTAAAAATAGTTTTGCACTTAGACTGACAGAACATTCGAGTCACTTGAGAGAACGCGGGGGAGGGGCACGGACCACGCAGAGGAACAGGGAGGATTTTAAAGGCAGGTCCTGCGCAGTCTGCAGAGGGGGCGGCAGTGAGAGGCGATGCAGGGAAATGAGGCGGGATCTGGGCTGGGGAGGATCTGGTTTTGAGGCCTCCTAGGGAGCTAGCTGCCTTTTTAAAACAGCTAAGGCACGGGTATAAGCCAAGCCAAAGAGGGACCAGACAGGCTGCTCTTCAGATCTTTTAATAAATATATTGTGTGCTCTCTGCTTTCAGCCGGCCCTGATGCCCTTCCGTTTGGGAGTAGAACACAACTTCCACAAAACTTGTCTTCAGTTCATGCACTGACTGCAAAAGATACTGTAAGAGCTTACTGCTCATTTCTTATTTTCTAGGCCATAATTTCCAGGGAAAAAGACAATGAATGTTCCTCCACCTGCGAAACACTCATTCCTTGGTGTTTACAAAAACCAAGTTTTCTTCATAAGTTTGTACCCGCCATTATTTTTCATTGAGATTTATGAATTTGGGAGCAAGATTCAGGAACCATTAGAATCTTTCCAGGTTAAATAATGCTTCCTGGTGGGTCACCAGCTGGGTCACTGACTCGTGTAGGTTTGCTTCGGATGGGAACCCAGGGGCCCTGACTTTCAGCACTAAAACTGGGAA